CCACTTCTACCCCTTTGTGGCATTTATAAGTGGATCTTATTACATATGTAACATGCATAAAATTAAACAATTGAGACAATGAATTACCTGATTCTGTTTTCTACACTCAAACGTGTCAGTTAACTTACCACTTATTCACTACAAATAATTAAATCATAATCATATCAATATATATATATATATATATATATATACATTAAATAAAGGTGTACAATCAAATTTAATAAAAATAATTTTAATACATAAATTACCGAAGTATTTGTATCATCAAAATCATTTTCAATCTCATCCTCACTTGAAATATATTTCTCCTCATTTTCATATATATTTCTTTCATTTAGTAATTGTATATCTATTTCTTCTCCTCCACCATTAACATCAACAAGGGAATCATTAATGAAGTTAGGATCAACATGAAGCACTACTTGAAGCCCTACAAGCTAATGTTGTGCAAATATGAAAGGATCATATGTTTTATTATATCTTCATGATTGCTTTACTTCCACGATTTCATACTTATTATTTACTTTGGTTTCTATATTAAGAGTATTGTCGAACCATTCACAATGAAAGAGAACTAAATTCATCAATGGCAAGCTAGTATACTCTAATCATGCATGGCAAAAAAGCCTTGTCGATGTTCTTAGACCGAGAGAAGAAGGTTATCACCTTGAGTGGTGATTTCCAATAATGACCTGTTGACACTAAGGCCATTACCACAGTCAGTCGTACCTGTCACCCACTCCTTAAGGTTTTTCACTAATGCCCCGAGTATAGAGGGAATATTGTGTGCAAGAGTTTGTGTATAGTTTTTATTTCAACCAATTGCGAAAAATAATCATACAACAATTATTAAAGTCATATAGTAAAACATGTTATACAAACAAGGGAGGAGAAAAGCATAATTTCAAATATATTATTTATCGAATCAATCTATCACTAATGGGATCAACTCTCTAGGCTTCCCCAGTAGAGTCGCCATCTGTTGTCATCGCTCCCTCTCTCTCCCGGAAAAGACGCCTTGAGGCATTTTTAGGGGTCTTCGAGAAGGAAGCAAACTGTCGCAATATGATGAGTAGACTCGCATTTTTATAAAAATAAATTGATCATCACTTTTAGGATGTCTGATAACCGAACTATCCCTGAAAGCAAGATTTTCGTAAAAAGGGTTCTAGAGTTGTCACCAATGTTTTTACCATAAACAATGAAAAAGAAAAACAAAAAGGTGTTGGTTTCTAAGAAAATCAACTTTGGTCATTACAACCAGAGTTGGATAAGAGAGTTAGTTACGTATGGGGAAGGTATTAGCACCCCACAACGCCTCTTTCAGGTTTCCTATGATAGATTAATTTGAAAAATAAAGATCCTAGAGATTATGTTTTTACCTTATTTATTCATTACGATATTTAAATAATTATCTACATGGCTCTAATATTTAATGCACACAGAAGAAAACAATAAAGAAAAGCAGTAAAAGAGAAAGAATAGGAAAAGGAACCTCTGAAGCGAGCTTTTATATAAATTCTTTAAACTTGAGGATTTTTTTTACAATCCTCTCGCTCTACAATATCGCTCCTCCCTCCAACAGAAAAGAAAACTTCAACTCTTGAGTGTCTAAAAGATCATTCAAACTCCGGAATAATGCTCAGAGTCGCCTAGAGGTCTTAGAATGCCTTCTAGGTTGAGAGAAGAGTGTGAGAGTGTGTGGAATTGAGGGAAATGAGGTCCTATTTATAGGAAAATATGCCAGGAGGACTGGACGATCCTCTAGTCTATATGAACAGCCGTCCATGGCTTAAAATGAGCATGGACGACCGTCTGGTCAACATGAGCGGTCGTCCATGGCTTAAAATAAGCATGGGCGGTCGTCCATGGCTTAAAATGGGCATGGATGGTCGTCCAGTCAACATGAACGTCCGTCCATGACTTAAAATAAGCATGGACGACCATTTGGTCAGCTTGGACGACTGTCCACTGCCTTCTGACGGCATCTTTAATTTTTTATTTTTTAAAAACTCTTCTTTTCTTAAACGGAACCTAGAAAATTCTACTAGAAACTTAATGAAGTCTTATCCATCTTCGAAATGGAGGATTTTTGAGAGCTATTGTTTGACCGGGCAAGATTTGGGATCTACATACCATATCCTGTGATATTGTCTACTTGTTGTAATTCATAGTAAACTGGTAAGTGTGTCATCCTATTTCAGACATCAAGATTAGATAAATGTGGAGACGGGGGACCAGTCTCAACAATCTTCTTCTTGAATGTCTTTTTATTCCTCCTAAATGGATGATCTTGTGAAAGAAATTGATGGTGACAATCAAAATAAAAGATCTTGTGACTATGAATAAGAGAAAATGTCTTTGTTTTCAGTGGCAGATCTTGATCATTGATCTTAGAAGAGCTAAATAATATATTATTAATAAATAATAAATAAATATAAAATGAAGTAAGAAGATGAAAGGATAAAAGGATGAAATTATAAATATATACTTAAATATATTAAATGATCATTAAGTTTGAGAGAAATAAAATCATAAATTATATGAGTTACAAAACTGAGGAGGGACTGAAAGGATAAAATTGTAAATATACAAGTAAATATATTAAATGTTCATTAAGTTTGGGGGGGCCAAAATCATAAATTACATGGGAATTACAAAATTTTAGGCAGACCACGACCCTCCTCAGCTCCCAAGAAGATCCGTCACTATTTGTTTTTTCCATACATATAGGACAAGCAAGTCTACCAACAGTCGTCCAACCTGATAACATGTCATAAGCTGGGAAGTCATTAATTGTCCACATCAAAGCAGTTTTTATCATAAAATTTTGTCTCAATGACACATCATAAGTCAATATCCATTCATCCCATACGGTGCACAAATCATCTATAAGTGGTTGCAAGAATATATCAATCTAATGCTTTGGATTTGAATGACCTAGAATTAAAATTGTCAAAAGCATAAATTCTCTCTTAATGCACATGGTAGGTGGAAGATTGTATGGAGTTAGGATAATCGGCCAACAGGAATAACTTTAGTCATACTGACCCAAAGGATTAAACCCATCTGCACATAACCCTAATCTGACATTTCTTGGGTCTTGACTAAACTCTGAGTGAACAATATCAAAGTGGTTCCAAACTTCCTCATCCGATGGATGACACATAATACTAGGGTCCTTTTCATTTTCGCTATGTCATTTCATGTGAGGTGCAATGGTCATTGAAGAGTATAACCTTTTAAGTTTAGGAATAATTAGAAAGTAACACATTTTTTTAACAGAAATCTTTTTTTTTTTAACTCCCCTCCTAGTGACAATCTTGTATCGATTCATTCTACATATAAAACAATTAGTTATACTTTTAGATGAATTTTTATTATAATACAACATGCATCCGTTTGGACAACAATCAATTTTGACACAACCCAAACCCAATTTTATTACTGACTTCTTAGCTTGGTCAAAATTTGCAGTCATTCGATGATCTTCTAGCATAATCTCCCCCATATTATAACATCCTTCAGCCATATTATAATTAGATTTTAAACTTAGAGCTTCCAAAGATGCTGACAATTCAAAGTGATGTGTACATCCTTCCCACAATGGTGCTTGCGCAACAAGCATGTCAAAAAAGTTTTGAGTATCAGAAGTTTTTTGTCATGTCCTCTTCTCTAATTTCACTCTCGATTTGAAGTTGGTATCCAAGTGAGGGTCCGACATGATCCATAATCATTTGATGGAAAAGACTTAATTCTTCCTTGTTGAAAAGTTCCATGTGATCTCTCAACAATCACTGCGGAAAATTTTGGTGACTCTTCACCATGGTTTGTCTAACAATAATAATTAGACATGAATCCCTCTTGAAAAAAATCTCATGCAACTTGATCAAGAAACTTGAAAACTTTACACTTACATTTAACTCAGGGACATCTTAACATTTTACCTTGTTCTTGAAACATAGGTTGAGCAATAACATATTGTAAGAAATGATACACTCCTTCTCTAAATTCATCTATTAGATGTTTATTACCATCCAATCTTTGATACATCCACGTTCTACTAACATAAATCTTCATTCTTACAAATTAACTACAACAATCAGTATAAGTAAAACTTCATTATTCATTTTATTTAATAAAGTACTTATGTTTTTCTAATACATTTTTTTCCTTTCCAAGATATCTAGTTATTTGATGCATTACTTTTACGGTACTTTTGCAGTACTTACAATATTGACATAAATAGTATTAAAGAGGTTAATCTGATTAAGTTCTCACAATCTGAATCGCACAAATTGTGTGCAGTTTAACCTAAATAGTCCAAAACACAATCCGATTATAATCCAAATGGAACCACAACATAACAACCATTCCATAACCGAATCTTAGACTATATAATCACCACCCAAGCAAAGCCATCTAAAATTATAACAACGCATGAGAACCTATAATTAATCGCCACTTAAATCCATAATCAAGGACGCGGGGAAACACAATCAAACAAACCAAGGAAAATATATACATTGAATGCAACAAAACGAGGCAGCCACAATACATACCAAACTCAGATCAAATCCTATTAACTTCCCAACTCTCAAACAGCATTAATCCAAGCTAAACAAGGTCAGATCCAACATCAGCAAACAAGCAAAACAATATATCCGATCAATCAAGATTAACCCAAAGTAAAACAATCAAGATTTACCCAATCTGGAAAGAAGAATAAGGACCAGATAAAAATCATCAAGTGAAGGGGATTCGAACCGAGGAGGAAGATGAACGAGATTGGTGTGAAGGTGACCTAGGGTTTGGCTGGTCGACACTGCATTAGAGGCGCGCCGCTCACGGGAAGCACGGTTTTATAGTGGTGGCTCGCGGTGGTTGTGATTGGGGTTTGGAGGGTCCAAACCACACGCGATTGGTGGTGCGCCGTGAAGACGGTGGTTGTGGAAGGTGGCCAGGGTCGAATAGGAACAAATGTTTAGGGCTTTTGATTAGGGGATGCGAACGGGGCTGCAAGGGAGTTTGGGAGAAGATGCGCGGGGGGGGGGGGGGTGATGAAAGGAGAAGCGAATGGAGTGGATTTGGGAAAGATCTGGGCCAGAGGAGAGGAGGAGGTTAACGGCGGGGGTGACAGGGTTTGCCAAAGGAGAAGAGAAAAGGGTATTTTGCTGCCACGGGTCTCCAAAGATTAGGCTAGCTCTCTGAGTGAAGGATGGGGAAGGAGGAAATGACAAATGCGGAAACTCGTGTGGGACCTGTGGGTGAATGACTAGAAATGGAATTGGGAAGTGAAGGTAAGGAGTAGGTGCGGGAGGTGGAGGATGCGAGTAAGGGATTGTCACGTGAAGGGAAAGTGGTGACGGGTCCGTGTGGTGGATGAAGGGAGAATTATCGGGAATTTAAATTAGGGACATCCAATGTTTAGTTTACCTTTTTAAAAAATAATAATTATAACAATAATTTTTTGCTAAATTTCTCAAATTTTCTAGAACTTTTATTATATTCTGCAATTTCTCGCTGTAAAAGAATTCCAGATTTTGAAATAACACTGATTCAAACTTGAAATTAGCACATAATAGTACAAAGAACAATAACCTCAACCAGTTTTGTTAGTGTGATGTCACTGGAATAGCATGAAGAAGTAAATCTTGTTCAGAAAAAAGATACAGCATACGTATTTAAGATATTCTAAAAAATTTTAAAATCAAACATTATATTCTGCAATTTCTCGCTGTAAAAGAATTCCAGATTTTGAAATAACACTGATTCAAACTTGAAATTAGCACATAATAGTACAAAGAACAATAACCTCAACCAGTTTTGTTAGTGTGATGTCACTGGAATAGCATGAAGAAGTAAATCTTGTTCAGAAAAAAGATACAGCATACGTATTTAAGATATTCTAAAAAATTTTAAAATCAAACAACTATATGTAAGCTTGCAATCAAGAGAAACGACAAGAACCCTAACTGCGCGGTGGACGGTGGATGGTGCGGCGGTGTGGTAGAAGGCACGGCGGTAGACAATGGTGCGGCACTGACCATTGACAGAAAAAATGAAAGAGAGGGAGCGAAACGGCTGCAAGAAGAGGGAGCGACTATAGAGTGAAGGAGAGGGACCAACTGTAGAGTGAAAGAAGGGAGCAGCTGTACAGTGAAAGACAGGAAAAAGAGAGGGAATTAAACCTTCAATACTAAATATAATAATTTTTTTTTAATTAATTAAAAAATATTATTCTTATATATTAAGATTTAATAAAGAATTTATAATATAAATATTAAAATATTAAAGATAATATTATATTTTTCTAAAAGATAATAAATGTTTTTAATTCATTATTTATAAATTTAATTAATTAAAAAATATTAATATTATTCATTCATCATTTAAAAAAAATTAAAATATAAATATTAAATATTAAAAATAATATTATATTTTTAAAAACAAATTATAGAAAAAGGTTTAAAAATATATATAAATTATATTTACATGTACAAAATATTAAGATATCCACATTTAAAAAAAATATCAAAAAATTATACTTTAAATTGATGAAATATATTTTAAAAAAATTATATTTATTAAAGTATTAAAAAATATTTTGTAATATATAAGTTAACAAAATTATCATTAAAATTTTTAAAAATTATTAGTTTTTTAATTTATACATAATCAAAATAAATTACAAATATTATATAATATATTGGTATATTAGTATGATATAGTATATTTGTATTTTAATTTCTAATTAAACTAAATTACACTAATAATGTATAATAATATATGAGGGGATAATAAATTTAATCTAATTATTTATGTATATATCATTTTTTAACTTTTTTTCTTTTTTAACTTTTCACGTTCTGTATTTTTTTTAACTCTATCATTTCTACTACATTATCATCCTTGTTTCCTCCCATATTCTATTTTATCTTTATTATAAAATACTTTATTTTATATTTTTATTATTTGTTTTCTTATAATTTAAAATAATTAATATTATTTTAACATTTATTTTTATAATTTTTACTATAATAAATCAAATAAAATGGTTCAATAATATTAATTAATTAAAATTATCATATCAAAAGCTTAGATAAATACATTAAAATTATTAATTATAAAAATATAAAATATATTTTAAAATAAAAATACTAAAATTATATATTAGAAAGAAAATAGAAAAAACAAATATTTTTTACTTTATATTATATTTAAGTGTATGCACGAAAACCTTCTTAACTATAAAAAAACAGTAAAATATATATAAAATTGAATTTGAAAAATTGAATTTTGAAGATAAAAACTACTTTTATATAAATTGATTATAGTATATCAATTAACAATAATAATACATAAAATTTAAAAACTAAACTAAAAAAAGTAAGTTTAAATTTAAAAAAAAAATCAATATATAAAAAAGTTAAAATTTTAAAAAGGCACTTCCTTAACTTACATTAACTATTTTTTTTAAAGCTAACAAGAAAAACTGGACTTTGAAAAAAAAGTTAATAATTTTGAAGTTATTTAAATGATGAAGTTTTCAAACATGATATACGTATTTATTGAGCAAAATTAGAGGTGTATTGAATATAGATTTAAATATATATTTTTAATTTATTTAAATATAATTTATTTTTAGTATTTATAAAATAGATTAATTTTAAATTTTTAACTTTTCTAACAGTCTATTTTTAATATTTGTTATTAATTATGTTAAAAATGAAAAATATTAATTAGTATACTTAAATTAAAAAATATGTCAACTAAAGATAATTATATTTTTATAAATAATTTAATTAGATAATATATTTATTATCTAATGTATATCAATTATATTTTGATATAAATTTTTTTATGGTACATCAATTATATGAAAACAACCATGGTTAAGCAATTAATAATAATAAAGCAATAAATTTAAAAACTAAATTAAAAATAAAGTATTATAAAATAAAATTGTAATAATTTGATTGAAATTATAATTTTTTATTAATTAAGTTAATGAGGAATTAAAATGTGATAATTTGATGTGTTCAGTTTTTTTAATATAAATTTTAAAATATAATTTAATTTTAATTGAAAAATATATTAAAGAATATTTATTATTAAATTTTTCTTAAACATTGTATTGAATAGTTATCATTCCAATCTTAATTTATTACAATTTAAATTTTAATAAATTTGATTTATTTTTAATAATATTTTTATTTTAGTAATTTAAAATTAAAGTTAGTTTTTATTTTGTTAAAATTGAGACCAAAGTTTATTTTAAAGTATATTTTAAAAAATAAATTATTTTTAAAAAAAATTGTAAAAAATATACTAAAACAATTAAAGTATATTTATAAAAAAAATAAATTTAAATATAATAAACAAATAATATTCATTAGCGATCGATTTTATTTCGGTCACTATTTTCTCATTAACAATCGATTATTATTTAGTTGCTATTTCAATTTGTAACTTCGATCGTTAAATCATTCACTAAATGATTTTTTTATTTTAGTATGGAATAACCACCAATTTAATGATCGAAATTTCAGTGATGCAAACTATTGATCACTAAATAAAAAAGTGAAATCAAATCATATTTTGGTGCCAAAATCAGTCGATAATTGTAACCGAATAAAATTAATTGCTATATCGAGTCGTTAATTGTGACTGGAAAAATTTGATCACTAATCTCGATCGCTAAAAGTGTTTTTTTTAGTGTATATTCTAAATAATATAACTTTAATTAAATTAAGTTAGGAGGCATAGTCTCTTTCTAGACAAAGTAGATTTTTTTTCTCACTAATATTTAGCGGAATCATTCAAATTTTAAATTTTAATGGAAGGTTAATAGACAAAGAAAATATAAAAATTGTGAACAACAAATCTAAAGAAATTAACGAAACGAAAATGATGGATTAATTTGAATACGTCAACAACAAATGCTCTCATCAATATAGTCTAATTCATTAATACAATCATTTGTAAACATAAACCATAAACACATCATAATTTTCCAGTTTGATATAAATTTTTAAACTAAAATATTTAGAAAATAATAACATCAACAAATTGCTAAAAATAGCATGAACACTAATACTGTCCTTTAAATCTACATTTTTCACTATATCAAAACTAAAATTCACTAAGTTTAAAATTTAAAATTCTCACTCAATTTAAATTAATTGACAAAAAATAAACTTAGTATATATAATCAATACACATTTAATTCACTGTCTCACATTCGTTTAATAGTTCAAAATGATTAATTCACCCTAACAAAATTTACAAGTTAAGTGTAAATTAATCTGATTTTAAAAATAACAACACAAAATTGATTCTATTATAAGAGCAAAACTGTTAAATTCATTTTTTTTATTTCAATTAAAAACTAAAGTTAAAATATGTTGATTATATTATAAAATATATAATATATAAAAGAGAAATAATTTACATGCTTTAAAATATCAGTCAAAACAGAAATGTATGGAATAGGAAAATATGTATGGTTTTTCATCATAGTTAGGTAAATAATTTTTTTTAATTTGCTGTATTAATTTTGAAGTAAATTAATATGTTTATTAAGTAATTATTAAGTTGTATAATAGAAAATATAGATAATACTGATATATTTATGATTATTTAAATGATATTTATATGGTACTGATAATATATATATATATATATATATATATATATATATATTATAGTAATATGTTATTTGATATATTTTATTACATAATTTAGAAAAATTAATAGGAAAAATATAAGTTGACATTTTTTTATTAAACATTCATCCTCCAATCAATTTTAATAATATTACTAAAACTTTTAAATTTATATATTTATTATTATATTATTATAAGGATGGTAGATTGATGTATGGATAAATAACGATGTTGTATTCATCACTACTCAAATTAATATATCATATGATCAAATTGATATTAAAAAAAGTAGTCAAATAAAATAATAAAAAAATTCATTTAACCGTATATTTGAATTTTTTTTCGCGTTCCTCGTTTACCTTCCTATGATATACAAATTTTACCTTTGAAGTCTTTTTAACACGAAGTAAAAGGAAGAATATTAATTGGTGTATTTGAAAAAGATACAATGGTTGACTTTGTGTCATAAAAGGAGTTTAAAAAAAAAACATGTACGATGAGGAATTAAAAAAAAACTATATATATATATTAAAACAAGGATATTATAATTTGCTAAAATGTGTTGCTAAAATAAGGTTGTTATGGATTAGGAAAGATGGGAAGAAAATGATGAATTGTTGATGATTGAATAATGAGTTCTGATAGGCTGCATCTGGGGAGGGCCGAAGTTATAAGAACTTATAATTTTTAATGGAAATAAATAGAAAATTAGGTCTCATTGATCTCAAAATTTGTGGTAGATTATTTTGTGTAATTCGTGAATTCGATAAGTTTAAAATGGGTAAGATTCATCACTAACTCATTTTTTAAAATATTTATATATTAAATTAAAAAATTTATATAATTAAAAAATTTATATATTTTTTATATTATTAAAATATATAAATATATTATAATTTAAATTTTAAATAGTAACGAGTTCGTGTTTTCGTATTTTTTGACGAACTCATATTCTCATGATACCTACAAACAAAGTTACATACAGAAAACATACGAAGATGAAAGTTGAATAGTGTATTTTATATCTGTCATTTCCGAACCTAACTTCCCTCCCTCATTTTTTATGGCTGCGCTTACGCACATTCATTCTACATTATTAACTACTTGTCATTAAACAAATACCTCATGCTTAATACGTTAATCCATTCATCTAATGGATATTAGTTGACTAATATTATTATACTCTCTTTGGTCCTTTCCGTTGACCATTTTATATGCCTCTTCTTCGCTTATTCCATAATCCTACAACTTGGATTTTAAATTTCCACTCATTAGATTAGGTTATGTATTTCTAAGAATTTCACCATTAACTTATAATAAATTACATTAACATTACTTCCTCATCTTTCATCAATTGACTCAGTAAAATAATAAAGAGTTTGATGAGTGGAGTAAGCAGTGGGGGGCTCGTAGATATCAAAATTTAAATAGAGACGGATGCTAATTACTGTATTTTAATAAGGACACTAACATTTTTTTTCGTTAAGATATGAAAATATGTAGTTTTTTATGATTTTTAATGTATTTTGAGATTATTTTTTCAACAATTTTTTACCAATATTCTAATACTACCACTTAATTACATCCTTAAATAAATAATAAAATGTAGATATGCAGGAAGTGGGCTTCCCCGAATCCCGAAGCAAATCCAAATGAAAAAGAGAGGTTGACAACAAGATCGCCTTTTACAACACATTGAGACTGTTTTTGAATAATAAAAACAATTTATTAAAACCATTATAATTTTTTCTATAATTTATATCTTAATTTTTAAAATACGTGATTACTTGGTCTCTACATAGATGATCTCCACGATAATTACAAATTTCATGCAAGTTATCTTATTGATTTTTTTTATTATTTATTATAAAAATACTTAATTCCATCTCATAAAATTGATTAACAAAATATAATTTATATACTAATTTAACAAAATAAATTTTACATTTATTTATATACTAAATTGATCTTATAACATTTTATCAACTGGTTGATTTTAAACCCTAGATTGCAGCTTATTTCGTGAGAGGGGGTTTTGACGGCAAACTAGGAGAGGGTGCTGGGAAGGAAGGATGCCCAACCCTAACAATGAAAAAGTCCTATATGCATAGATAAGAGATCAATTTATTTTAAAAATAAGAATTAAAAATTTTTGTTTTATCTTATTTTTATAATTTAATAATTATTTAACATCATTAAATTAGAAAATAAAAAAACACAATTTTCTTATTTATTTTTAAAAATTATGTTTCGATATGTTCATGAGTCTTATATCACTGCTTAGGAGTCGAGACCAAAGATAGTTTAGAGGCATCTTTATCTCTTAACCTACCGAAACACATTTTGAGGAAAATCGTGACGAACAAAAACTGTAAAGCAAACAATACTCGTTAAGACACCTTTTAAAAACAAAACCGTGATAAATAAGAATTTTAAAACGAACTAGTACATGTTCTTTAAATGGTACATATTATATGTATCATTATCATGTTGCATAATAATTATGATCAACAAGTTCACCATAAACAGTTTCACTTATATAATGATAAACTTGTTTTACTTGATACAAATTTTATTTAATTTTCTAATATCATATTTATAAATTTATATTAAAAATATGATATTTATACTAATTAATATTTTGGTGAATCAATTTTACATATTTATTAATTTTCTACGGATGTTTAAAGTATATTAACAATTTATTTTTTGTCAAAATAAAAAAGTTTTTAGCAATTTTTATTTTTAATAACATATTTCAACTTAAAATAATTTTACATGAAGAAGTAACCCATATATAAAAGTTATATTTGGATATTTGAGATAGATTATATGAAATTCTTCATAATATTTCTTAACATTTCTATCAACTAAGAAGAAGTCTATTAAACTAAGAAGATTTGTTATATCATATTTCAACTTAAAACCAGTTAACACTAGACAAAGTGATCAATAAATATAATAATTATACTTAGAGAATTAAGATAAATAATGTGAGACTCTGTTAGATATCTCCTTTAACTAATAATAATTGAGACAAACCATATTAACCAATCGTCAGACTCGTTAAATAAAAGACTTTCAACGTCGGTTCATCTAGAATCGACGTGGAATGTTTCCAACATTCAACTTTCAACGTCGTTTTTAACCAACCGAGCGTTGAAAGTGTATTTAACGTCAGCTCGACTTTACCTAGACGTTAAATGGCGACGTTAAAAGCATATTTTGTAGTAGTGTAGGTTCTTCCTAACATTTTCCTTAACTAAGAAGATCCTAATTATACAATAGATGTAACTAAGAAAACTTTGATATTATGTTATAAATGAAAAAATATCTAATTTAATCCTACAAAATCAATCAAAATCAATAGATTCTGTTGTAATGCAAACCTAATATATAATTATAATGTAAGCCTCCTATTTTGAATGATGGAGTTAAATATTTGTTTATTTCTAAATACATAATAAAATAGAGACTATTGCCTCTGTCAAATTTTTTATTACAATAGAATTCAGTTAATATAAATAATAATTCAGTTATTAAACGGTTGCTAAATATTAAGAATAAAATAGTAACATGATTATATATAAAAGATGTGCTCCATAGAATCGCAAACTTTTTTGGTTGAAAAGGTTAAAAGAAAAATGTACAAGTGTCTCATTTGTTAATTAGAATTAAAGGAAGGGAGACAAGATAACATGTAATAAAATTTTAACATTATTACTACAAGAAATTATTAATTAGTGACGGATATCTACCGATAGATATGTAGTCATCGAAAAATAAATGATTACCGACGAGAATTACTGACGAATTTAAAGTAGTTGTGGAATTTGATCTTACCGACAGATATATTATTCGGTAAATAAATAATTAATTACCAATAGATATATCCATCGATAAATTAATAATTTTGGTAAATGAACAATTAGTTATCGATGAATATATCCATTGATAAATTAACAATTAGTTACCAACAGACATTACTTGACAAATTTAAAGTATATTTTTAAAAATCAACATTAAATTAAAAAAATTAAATATTTAAAATTATATAATAATTACATAATTTTAAATATATTCTAATAAATTAATTATTTACCTAATTAAAAAATTAAACACTTCTTTATTTAATAATTTAATATAATTATAATTAGATTAATTTATAATAAATTTTTAAATTAAATAATTTTAAAAATTAATATTTAAGTATTTTTATTATTGAAAAAATAATTTTAATATAAGAATTTTAATTAAATAATAGAAGAAAAAAAGATAAAAAGAATAAATTAAAATAAAATAAAAAGAAAAAAATTATTTTATATCATTATATAAATAAATTATAAAGATTATATTCTATCATTAAATTACAAATCCATATAAAGAGAATCACTCACAAATTTGACATCAAATTTTGATAACTCACTCGACACACACTTTCACCATCGAGTAGCGTCCTCACATCCAACATATAAATATATAATTATATAAATATATATAAATATATTTATATTTATATGTTTTATATTTATATATTTACACATATATACATTTATTTGTATATAAATATAATTTATTTATAAATTATTATTAGAAAATCATAGTAACTTAGTGGTATTATAAATAAATAAATTTTCTTAATTGAATAATAATTGAAATTTCTACAAAAATATTAGTAATTACAGATGGACTTTTTAAATTTGTCGATAATATTTACTGACAACATAATTTTTGACGGATTTTTTGTCCCTCGATAATCCATCAGTAGTATGTATTTATCGACCATGAAAATTTAATTTTTCATGTATTTTTATTAGATTAATTAATACACGTTTGCAACATTAATCAAGTGCCCATTCTTGTTGTATTATACCATTAAAAAAAAAATATAAGGAAGGAGGTGAATTTTGATCACTAAACAAAGTATTGTGTTAAAACAAATCACCCACCCCATGATATAGTTCGTTCATCATTTTAACGCTGGAGTTCTTACGTCAGTGAACCATGACAAATAGATTGTTAATTCATATATCCAGGAACAAGTGGGTAAAAGTTTAAAACCCTAGATATCATGAAGCAATTAATTGTCATCACTGCATCATCATGAACCAATGAAGAATATATATTCTCAGAGCCTACTTTGACCCTCGCCTTGTCCCACTTCTGAATTTTCTTTTTCCTATTTATCTAGATGGGTGTAGGTCCATTTAAAATGGACAGTGAATTATGTAATATCTACACCCAGATCTATATTTACACTCAAGTTCACACTTTTTTTTTTCTCACGCCTGAAACTTTCGTTACAGAAAACGAAAGAGATAAAAATTTCTTGAATATTATATTATTAAATTTTTAATTTGTGTGTGTATGTACGCCAAAGGCAAGGAAGTCGCACTAGGTTAAAATGCTTGACTCGAAGAGAAGACCATGAAATTAATTAATTAAAATAATATATAAATACATGGGAAATTAAGGGAGGCTCCGGTCACTAGTGGTGGCAAACATTTGACCTGAAAACCGTTGTTGTCGACGTTTGGCCCATGTGACTTTATAAAACGTACGAAACTTCAAAGATGGCACCAATCACTAATTTTCTTTATTTATTTTGGTTTTAATTAGTCATGCGTCAAATACTTCATTCAGGCCCTCTTTTTCTCCAGTCTCTATATTAATATAAAAGAGGGGCTTTTTCGAAGACCCAGAAGAAGAAAGCAGATCAGGAAGGAACAAGGGCTTGCCAAGAAGAGAGAAAATTTCCACAAATGGAGCTTGCTTCGGAGAGATCTGGTCACGGAGCAAGTGGAGTCAAGGAAGAAAAGAGAAGTGATGAGTATACTGTAGGCGATGACGATGATGAAGAAGAAGATGGTCCTCATAAACAAGAGATTATCGTCGAGGTGAAGATTGATATTCTCTTCCTAATTAATATCCGTATATTTATTTATAAGGGGCATCATTTTATCTTTTAAATGGCAAAAACATCACATATATAATCATAGTTTTTGGTTTTTTAATAAGCACGCATCTCAGTTTGTGTTAGTTAGTTCATGTAGGATATTTTTTTTCTTCTTCTACAAATCCTTCATGATTTTCATAAATGACCAATAACGGAAATTACAGAATGATCTTGTTTAAAGAAGTATAATTAGTATCGTTTCCTTCCTCCGTATAATTTTCCAGAATTTTAATTATTTTTTTTGTCGATCTTCACCTAGTTCTTTTCAATCCTGACAAGAATTTCAATTCGATTGTTAGGGCATATATAATATTGTATGTTAACTTTCCGAAAACAGTTTCAGGTTCTCTTTTCTCTGGTATCAGCGTCACCCTTGTAATTTACGCATGCTAAAATATGAACTTATAACATGAATCTTTATGGATTTGTTTGGTAAAATTCATATAACTCCTAGTTCGATAATGATTTATCTGTTAAGGATAAAGAAATAAAATTGTGTATATTTCTACAACTTTGTCTTTTTGTTATTTATATATATACACAACTTGAACAATACAAGTAATATTGAATTAGTCAACTCTAAGATAAGATTTATATTAATTCAAAGAAGCCGTCAATATTAACGTCTACTAGGTTAAGTTGTATAAGGAAACTAATTTCCTATAAACAAGATTTTAAGTTCAAATTTTCTGAACAAAGATAGTTGTTGGTTGAGAAATTAAAACAAAAGTCCAATCATGATATATATCCTTTGGCAAAATTATTGAAAATATTGCCATTTTTTATGGCAAGCATATTACTAAAAGGGTTATTTCAATAATTAATACAGACATCTGCTAAGAGTTGACCAATGCATGTGCCTGAAAAGAAAAATAAATATTTTTTCAACATGATATATAATTAATTCATCGTGCACGTGCAAGTTAAAACCAATATATTCTCACCGGGCCAAATAAGAAGGGGAAAAAACTTCAGATCAGTTTCTCATAGTCATATAGTTGCTCATTGAACTGTACATGATAATTCTCATTTTCTTTGTCCTTTTTCTAATGCCATCAAGCTACCCCCAAATGTTTCATTTCATGTAAAAACATTTTGTAAATTATTTAATCCTTGGAATGTATGGCATAACCTTGTTTATATAAACAATGTTAGTAAATATCAAACAATTAAAACACATGTTTTTAAGTTCTGAATCTTTTAATAGAACATTTAAATTTATATCTAATTCATTGGTTTTTTTGGTAGAATATATAAAACAGAAGTAAGTAACTCATTGATATTTATCATTTTAAATTGATAATAAAAGAATATTGTAAGTGTGAAGAGACATATGAAATACATCTAAAAACTATTTAAGTAACTATTCAGTAAGGGTGTTAAGGAAACAGGTGGAAAAAGCTTAATTGTATGCTTGCATATTCATGACGAAACATATATATATATATATATGTTTATGTAGAAAGAGTATCAAGTAAAGAAAATGCATTATTAGTAGGTTTTGATGATTACTGCTTGTGTGATACAGGAACCACCCGTAGCTAATACGGAAAGATCCATACAGCAGGAGGCTCGACCTAGCACGTCCGCAGACAAAAAGGAAGAGGTTGAATTTATAATGACACAAGTAGTTCTTTTATCTCATTTTCACGATTCAGGAACTAACTATACCTCATTTATATGTGTCAATGGCTGGTTGTATATAGGTTGATTGTCAGCTTGAGAGTACTAAAGCTGAGATGGGTGTGGTGAGAGAAGAAAATAAACGGTTGAAGAGGTCTTTGAACAAAATAATGAATGAATATCGGACACTAGAAATGCAATTTCAAGACATACTTAAGCAAGGGACAAAAAAGAAAGTTGATAAAGGAAATGGTAACCAAGAAGATACATTAGAGGAATCGGATCTAGTTTCCCTCAGCCTGGGAAGAGTTCCTAGCAATCAAAGAAACGATGAGAAAATCAAAGTTAATAAACCATTGAAAGATAGTGAAGGGTTTAACCAAGACTTGACTCTTGGACTAGAGTGCAAATCAAAGTCAGGAAGTACAACTGAAGCTTTGCCTAATCCAAGCCCAGAAAACAGTTCTGAAGTTCCAAAGGAAGAAGCTGGGGAGACTTGGCCACCCAAGGAGACACAGAAGACAATGAGAGACACAGAAGACGAACTTGCTCAGCAAAATCCTATGAAGAAACCGCGAGTTTGCGTTAGAGCAAGATGCGACACTCCAACAGTGAATCTCTATTCTCTCAGCTCCTTCTACTTAGCCTCTTTTGTCAAGTATGATATGGCTAATGAGAAAACATATTTCCACACCCTCTAATTTTTACATTACCTATTTCTCTTTAACTCTTATTTTACCATATTAAAGATAGGGGGGTTGTATGATGATGCATGAGAACACTTTTGCACAAACAAACGCATATAAATAGCCATATTCATAGAGAGAGAACTATATAGACTCCTCCGGGGGTTAATTATAGAAGAGTTTAAAAATATAGAGAACCTTTTGCTCACGCTTTGATATTAACTATTGAAACAGATGAATGATGGATGCCAATGGAGGAAATATGGACAGAAGATTGCAAAGGGAAATCCTTGCCCTCGAGCTTACTATCGCTGCACCATTGCACCATCATGCCCAGTCAGAAAACAGGTTTCTATATATGTTTTTCTTTCTTCTTGCCACACATTATATTTTTCTATAAAATCTATTTTTGTCTTCCGGTGCAGTTGATCTAACATTTTCCTGTAAAAAAAATAAGAAAAATTGAAAAATGTATCATAAATTTGAAATTCTATTGCAGACAATTTCTAGAGATACTATACTATTAGAATGGAACTCATCATGTACATATTTTCAGGTGCAAAGATGTGTTGATGACATGTCCATTTTAATCACCACGTATGAAGGGACCCACAACCACACTCTACCACCTTCAGCTACTGCCATGGCATCCACAACTTCCGCAGCAGCATCCATGCTTCTTTCTGGTTCATCAACCTCTCACACTGCCGCAACACCTTCAACAACACCAACCACTTCTGCTGCCAATCTCCACGGCCTCAACTTCTATCTATCAGATGGTTCAAAACCAAGGCAATTATACCTGTCCAACCCTGCACTATCATCTTCACCTTCACATCCAACCATCACTCTCGACCTCACTTCACACCCAGCTTCTTCCTCCTCATCACCCTTCGTTAGATTCACTTCAAACTACAACCAACCCAGATACCCCTCTTCATCAAGCCTAAGCTTCAGTAGTTCCTCAGAAACCAATGCATTGTCTTGGAGCAACGGCTTCCTCAATAATACTTCTACTACTCAACCACCATATAGTAGCAGGAACATCCTTGGGAATGTAAACTTTGGGAGACAAGTAGAAAACATGTACCAATCCTACATGCAAAAGAACAACAACAATATTCCAAGCGTTCCTCATGGTGGTGTACCAGCGGATACCATATCTGCAGCAACGAAAGTGATCACAGCAGACCCCACTTTTCAATCGGCTTTGGCAGCAGCGCTTACTTCGTTCATTGGTGGCAGTGTTGGAGGAAATCAAGGTGGTAATATTATTGGAGAAAGTCTAAATTTGGGTCAGAAAATGAAGTGGGGTGAGGTGTTACCAGCGTCAAATAATTCCTCTTCTACCTTGTCTTGCTCAACTTCGAAAGTCAATGGGTATGCATCGAGCTTCTTGAACAAAACACCCGCGAATAATACACAGACTAAAAGTTTGATGTTTCTGCCGCCGTCGTCTTTGCCGTTTTCAACCCACCAAAGTGCATCTGCATCTGCATCTCCTGCTGATAATAGCGACACCACCAATTAAATAATTGGTGATATTTCTGTAGCCAGCCACTTTAATTTTTTTCTTGGTTGTATTGATGTAATTAATCAAGATGCTAAGTAATAAAATTTAGCATAGACACGTAAATAAATTATGAACATAGATGTTTACTTTTTTTTATTGTTTTGGGATGGAACATATGTATGGTTTATCAAGTCTGAACCAGAAGCTTCTTCATTTGAGTAAAAACTAGGGAATTTAGGGATTACCAAGCACACTTATTTTCGTATTTTGAATAGAGTTTTACTTATTAGTGCTTGGAAATCTCATAATCTTTGCTTAGCAGGTTGGTTAATTGACTTGTATGTATAAGTCAGTAACTGCGGCTTCCCCAATGTCTGCATGGTTTTTCTTATCATACTGGGGAGCATTATCATTGCTATCTTTCATGCAGGATAATGGAGAATTTGCTTCAGGCAGGTTATTTTTGGGATCATATTATTGAAGTTGTTTTATTCATGTTTTGATCGGGTGCTCTATCGGCATGCATAAGTTTAGAGAAGTTAGTAGTGTAACTTATTTGCTTCCCAAGCATGTGCATGGTGCTGCTGCAACGTCAATTGTAGAGCCGTCAAATTATTTTATGATTAATTTTAAAACATTATTCTCTTCTTTTTACCCAAAAAATATATTTATATATCCTATTTTTATCCAACAATTTCACTTATTATTATAATTTTTTTCTTATAACATATCGTATTAAGATTATTAGATTAATGCATAAGTTGTTGAATGGTTGGTTGTCTATAAATCACATTTGTTTTTCTTTTATTCTATCGATCTATTGGATCATATAAAAAAATAATTAAAAAAATTGATATAAATAGAATTAAATCTCGTCAAATTACTCATATATTATTTTCACTTCTTTCTACCAATATTATTAGATTATAATAAGTGAATATATATATATATATATATATATATATATATAAAGGTAGTTTAAAATGATAGTTTATTAAATGAAATTGTTTCTAAGAGATTATAACAACTGTTAATATAAATACAAATTAAATCATATATTTGAATGGTAAAAAATATCAATGCATATAATTTTTTATGCATGCTATTAATTAACTTCAATATTAACTATTTGATATTTGTAATTTATGTCACTCGGGCTCTGTGATGGATAAATAGGTTAAAAAGCCTTTATATATCATGTATTGAAAAAATAATTATGCTAAAAAACAATTTAATAATGGTTTTAAGATTTTAAAATTATAGTTTAAATTAATATGCTACTGTTCTTTTAGTGTACTCATTTTATTTTTTAATTTCTAATATTCTTTTTCTTATGATATAATTTTATTATTTTGTTTCCCATTACTAAGTTGTATCATTATCCGCTAAAAAGTTACTTATTTTTTAAATTTTTTTTCCATAAAAGATAATTTAAATTTGTAGGAAAATTATTTGTTATTAACTTTTAAAAATGTACAAAAATATTTTCATGAAATATGAGAATTTGTAGTAGTGTATATTTTAATTAAAAAAATTTTAAAAAATAAAATAAAATTGAATATAAAATAATAAAATAAGTATTTTAAATAAATTATAGTATATTTAAGTAAAAAAAATATTGCAATGGTTAAAAGAATAATTTAAATTAAATAATTGAATTTGTGAGAGACTATTCAAAATAATTTTAAGTATATTTTAGATTTATCAACTACCTTAAAGAAAATTTGACAATAATATTTTATATAATTCTTTATTACACCCATTTTATTAAAATTATAGTATAATAATTATATATATATATATATATATATATATATATTATCCTTTAATATACTATATATAATTAATTTATTAGTAAGAAAATATTTTTAATCATTACAATTATTAGTACTCGATATCATTTTTTGCTTACTCTAATCCTTCTTCATTGAAATTTCTCCATTCCAAGCTTCTGATTCCCAACTTCTTGGCTTTAAGCTTTTTATTCTCTATTGCTCCACTTCAAACTTTTTCAAGCTTCTTTGCTCAAGTTAGTGCTTGGCTACGAAAACTTTTCATTTGATTGATTTGGGGTTTGAGGATTTTTTATTTTTGTGTGTGTTGCTACTATGAATAATTCGTTATAACTTGTACGTTGCTTTTAGAGTAATTGATTAGAGAGATTGATTGCGACTTGTTGATGTGTGATAACTCTTATTAGTCATTAAATGAGAAATTTGAAGACAAATTGTATATGATAATCATGAATAGTAAGTAATTTAACTCCCCTTATTGAATTGTGGTAACATTAAGCACTATTATAAGTTTTTATGTGAAAACATAGATGGATGGATAATTTAGGTCTAATTTTGGTCAATTAGATGATTGTGTTCAAGGATAGGGAAGAAGTCGTTTCTATTTGTCAAATTAACTAATAAATAAAATGTAATTTAGTGTTTTTTGGTTTATTAGATACATCTTTGCATTTTTATTTTATTTTTTTCCATTTTGGTCAATGCAAAACTAGACAATTGGTCTGTTAACCGCATAAAAAAAAAAAAATATTAGCATGCATCGTTTCACAAACCTACTAACTATTACGGTTCTGGTTTAATTTTTCACGTTTTTTGTCTTCAATTTTAGAATTTTTTATTTATCTTAGTTTCGTTGGTTGTATAAAAATGTCTTGATATATTATTGGAAAGGGATTTAAATAAGTTATTTAGATAAAATATGTGTAATTTAAATGTCTAAGTCATAATTTATATAAGTTTAAATTAGGTTATTAAGTAAATTTGTTTAAATCATAATTTATATAAGTTTAGGTTAGGATATTAGATAAATTTATGAATTGATTTATTTTATAAAATAATAATTAAATTTTTAAAAAATAATAATATTATTATTTTGTTAATATATATATTATAAAATTAATTTGATTAAAAATTCACTTATTTTAAAAATAAGTTTCTAAAATTTACTAATTTAAAATACTGTGATTAAAATAATTTATTATTTTAAATTATTAATTATTGAAAATGAATTATTCTAATAAAAATAAATTTTTAACTTTTATTTTAGAATTAAAGAAATCTTTTATTAAATTATTAATTTTAAAAAATAATTTCATAATATAATTTAACTTTTAAAAATATATATTTTATTTTTATTATATAAATATATTAATAAAAAATTTTATTTATTTTAAAATATAAATCTGAATTATTAATTTTTTAAGATCATATTACGCTGTACCATTCTATCTATTTTCACTTTTTTTTTTTAATATGAACTCAGTTGAGAAGAAAAGAAGAGTGTAATTCATTAAGATGAAGAAAGAATGACCCACAAAGTTCAGTTTATGATCATGGCAGATTTAAAATAAGAAAGATTGTGGTGAAGTTTATGATTTTTTTAAGAGAAGTTTATATCTGATACGAAAATGGATTGTCACATCACGAATACAATTACATCATTAGAAAAAGTAGATAGATTTTTAAATTTTGTATTTTGAGAACGGTGCAACAATTTTGAAAATTAACGCAATGATATAAATTTGAAATTTATATATTTAAAATTATTAATTAAACTGAAAAATCACATCATACTGTTTAATTAGCTTAAATATAGGAAGATATTTCAAGAAATATATTATGAAAATATTGATGTTATCTTGAAGGAGTGCCACATATATCGGTTTCTCTCCATCAATCATTCTATGATGTGTTGACTAAGATTTATTTATCCTGTATGAACATGACAATTAAATCAATGTTTGACTTTGTTTTCTTCTTCTTGAAACTAGAAGTTAAACCTAAATATTTGATGTATAATTTTTTTGAAAAACAGATTATTTATTTTATTGTTATATAGTTCATAAAATATAAGAAGTAACATTTTTTTTTCCTTAATAAATAATTACTAATGCAACTTAAATTCATTTTATTTTATATTCGAATATATTTGTATATAATAGGTGAAATTAATACATTTTTTTCATTATTTTTCAAAGAATAAGATGAGAAGTGATGTGTCACTTTTTTAAATTATTTGTGAAAATAATAAATAACAACACAAAATATATTTAAAATATAAAGATAGTCCTTTACTCTTATATAGAGTGAATTATATGGATAAAAGTACCAGAACTAGGTAAAAAATAATAATTTTTTGCTTTCAATAATTTATAATAACTTTGAAAGAATGAGGTAAAAGTAATGGTAATTAATTGCGAAAACAACAATTAAAAAAAAACTAAATTAAAATATTTCCTAAATATAATAATTATTTAATCTAATACGTAGAATATATATAAAAAAAGAATCCTTTAATCCAACGTATAGTTAATATTAAGACTACAAATATTTCTTTAATTGAAGAAGGAGTTAATATTTAAGAAAAACAGGTTGGCAATAACAATTTTACGTGATGAATGATTAGAATAAATACCGTACAAGTAGGTTTTATTTTATGAAAAGTATATAAAAAAATAATATTGAGATGCATTCTCATATTAAAATTAATATTTAATTTTTATGATAATAGTTAATTGTTATAAGAACGTAAAGAATAAATTCAAATTATAAAATTACAATGAATAATAATGGCTATTTATAATTACAAGGAACTAATTCTTATCATAAACATGTAAATCACATGAATACAAAAGAAAAATAAATTATACCCCTGTACTTTCAAATCACACAGTAGATATTTATGTAAAAAAAAAAAAAAATTTCACACACAAGGTATCAGTATATATAAATTGTCTGACTCAAAATCATTTTCAATCCACTACGGACGTTGGAGTTTTTTTATACTCAAATTTGTTATCAAAACTTTTAATTTATTATTAAAATAAACAATTTAATAAAAGAAAATTATTTGTTTCAATATATTTTTATGTTAAGGAACGTTAGTTTCTTACCTCTCTCCAATATTTTTTTTAAATTTACTTATACATAATTTCTGAAAATTTGATCACATTCGATTTTAAAAAATAAATTAAATATGAGAATCCTACTTTTCCAACCAATGAA